AGATTACATAATCTCTCTGAAGGACAGAGTAATTTTGTCCCTGGATGACAGACTTTACAGAAAACAATGACTGTGAAGGTTTCACTCTGGAGGTTTTTACCTTATCGAGGAGGAGGCATCTAGTTTTCCTTTTACTGGCTAGAGCTCAAGATACCGGGGGATACACACATCTGGTTTGGTTTAAAAAGAGGCTTTTGCATAAATCCAAATCTGTGCTACTTCTCTCTCTACACATAGACATTGTAAACTGACTGTCCTGCAGATTTGTGCTGCACTCAGCATATCATTTCAATCCCGTAGTTTCACAATGATATTAATTCTTGGATTACAGATTCTTTCTTCATAAAAGACATTTTTTGTTGTATTGAACCAGTTTTACCAACAAAGTAAATCACATTCTAAAAATAAACACAAATTAAAACACGATTAACAGAATTTCGAAATGATTCAAATAACTTAAACGATCCAATTGTTATTATCTTGTTTGATTATGTAAAGGCTACGCTTCAGAGCATTTCACCACATAAGTTATAGTCTTACAGCCCTTTGTGACATGTTTATTTTAGTTTAGTTAGAACACCACAGTCACACAATAACACAAACAGACTAACCGCAAAAGTTAGCCATAAACCAGCAGGTCTGAAAGCCCAATGAAGGGTTTCAGTTTCTAGTCGGAAAACACTTTAAACGTAACTTTGACTTCAACTGATCATTTTTCAGTTTGCTAATGCTAAAGTTGGTTGGAGACCACAGCCCGACCAAAATTATTGTGATTGTGTACAATGAACTATGAGCTCGTTGCCTTTGAAGCGGTTGCTTCAAACTTCTTCAACCACTTCAACCTCATTGGTTCAGTTCAGTTTTATTTATATAGTACTAAATCACAACAACAGTCACCTAAGAGTGCTTTACATTGTAAGGTAAACACCCTGCAATAATAGAGAGAAAGCCCAACAATCGGATGACTGCCTATGAGGCAACAGTGGGAAGAAAAAACCTCTGGCAGAAACAGACTCATGGAGGAGCGGACATCTGCATCAGGCATCAGTGTGCTATCAGTTTGCAGTTAAACGGAATCAAGTTGGGCATTACATGCAGCCTGTTTTTGATAAATATGGAGGAAATTACAAATCTGTTGCTGTTTACATACACAGAAATTTACAAAAACAAAAATCCAGGATAACTACTTACATTTATAAAGTACATTTCTGCACAGCGTAGTGTGATTTTCCCCTTCACACCTACCTACAACAGAAAAAAGGCAGTATTGAGGGGGCTGGGACTAGAGGTTTCTGCTTATTAGTTTCAGTTTGCAAAATAAGAGTAAAAAGTTCCAACTGGGTTTTAAAGCCACTTGAGACAATGGAAAAGGAAAGATGCTGACGTACCTGGGACATAAAAAAAAAACTACAAGAAACATAAAGATGAAACTCAGAGACCAAAGCCCAAACTATAACATCTGCCTGTTGAAAAGAAGTGAATATAGATGAGTGTGTTTCATTTGCACTTCTAACAGAATACAATAATTTGAAGTTCACTGCATTTCTGAGCTGCTTGAAGAATGTTTTGAAAAAGTTCATTGCTTTTTAACTCTAAACTTAAACCAAGGATCCAATCCTCCCTGTTCTGTTCCGCTCTTCACTTACTGACACTCACATTTCAAGGAATGTAATCTCTTCTAAATCCATTAGTTGTCCCGTTAGTTTTAGGCAATAAAGTAAGATGTACTTGGAACAAGCCCTTAGTTTTGATTTTGTGTTGCTAAGTGAGGAAAACTAACACCTCTCCCTTGTTCCTAACTTCACGTTCTCTTCACCTCTCTCCCGTTTGCAGTTCCACGCATGCCCCCCAGGAATATCAAGGTGTACAATCCCACCCCCAACACCCTGAATGTGCGCTGGGAGCCAGCCACGGGCCAGGTTCAGCAGTACCGGGTGGCTTACGCCCCCCTGACCGGTGCAAGCCCATCTGAGTCGGTGAGTAGCTTTCTGCAGTTAAAACACAAACTGTCATTAGCAGCAGAATTCTCCTTGAGGGGAGGAAAATCTCTCTGTCTGGTCATGAGGAGTGAAGAATGTGAAGACACAAAAATAACAACCTCTTGTGTGATTTAACAGTCATAAAAGAGTGAGGTTGGATAATATTTTTTCCCAGTTTAAGTCATCACATTCCAAAAGCTGCAGGTCAGCTCTTGTTAGATATGATGTGCCTCGAGGAAATTCCTGAGATAAGTGGAATTACACTGAGAAAATAAATGAATGATCTTATCCTGGGTTTTTTTGTTTGTTTTTAGATAAAGGAGAGATTATGGCTGATAATCATTATCTTCAATATCAACTAATTGGTCAGCTATTTTTATTTTTAATCAATAGTTTATAAAATTGCAAGAAGTATCAGGATTACCCAGAATTCAAGACATCTCTACAGATCATGTTTGTTTTTTTT